CTCAATTCCAAGTATGGGGCAGCCGATAGATGATACAATATTTCTCTGTCATCAGGTTTTCTATCTCTATCCCTCTCCATTCCTTTCTCTCTAAAAATCAATAAAAACATATTTTAAAAAATCTCCATTCTTTCTTTTCTATGTTAACCTTTACCCTATAGCACTTTTACTCGATTTTACCACTTACAGTATTCTGACTTTTCTGATAGCAAATATGTCCATCTCAGCATTAGAATACAAGCTTATTGAGGGCCAGGGCCATATCTTGTTTATTATATTCTCTACAGCAGTGTTTCCCAAACTTTTGACATATGTGCACCCCTTCTATAATTTTCGTAACGCTGAGTACCCCTAGTACTCATGAGAATGTAGAATTAGGCGCAGCTAAGCACGGTGCAGTGCATATCCCCACCAAACTCCGGTGCAACGCGTACCCCCACCAAACTCTTCCCGTCCCCCTGGGGGTACACGTACCACACTTTGGGAAACACTGCTCTACAGTATTAGAACATTGCCTTGTATGTGATAATCAGTTAATGCTTGTTGAGTCAAACTGTATACTGTTTAACAACAAACATTTCTTTAAATACTTCCTGTCAAGTACTGTTCCATGTGGGTGCTAGAGATAGAATCCCATATTTGTCTCTGCCTTTGAGGGGCTCTCAGTGTAGTAAGGGAGATATGAAAGGTAAACACATAATCATCGCATGGTGTGACAGGTGCTAAAGTAGAGGACTGTCTAAGATATTAGGAAACAGAAGCAGCATCTAATTCTGACACCATCGAGGAGAAATGAGAGGGATGAACAGTTTGTTCAGGTAAACAAAATAGGAAGGAAAGAACATGCAAGCAGGATAAATACCATGTGGCATGGCATAGCTTAATCTGAAAGAAAGAACATATTTGATTCGGGGAATCTGAGGCAGTTGATATGCCTGGAAGTGGTGCTGGGAGGACATGCAGAAGTCAAAATCATGGCAAACTAGGCTGTTAAATTTGGATTTTCATATTTTAAGTGGTACGTAGGAAAACACTTTGAAATGTTTTTATATTTTAGGGGAAAACATTCTGTGACTTTTTTATATTGTTTAAAATATGGCTAACTAAAAAAAAAGTAGACTCAAAGAAAACTATTATAGGAATACACTGTTGTGTGTAGTAGAAGTATGACAAAATCTTGATGATGGTACTTGAATGGATTATTGAAAACACTGCCTTAAACAGAGGAGTACCCTTGAGAGATTTTAAAGGAAGTGACAGTAAGTTTTAGAAATATGGCAACATTGTGAACTTTGTGGAATGGGATAGGAATCTCATAGACAAAGTGACAGGAGAACTTGAAGTATAATAGGATCTGTTGATATAATAGAATAAGTCTAGGTGATGAGGGAAAGAGTTCAGCGTAATCTTTTAGTTTCTGGCATGGATAACTTAGTTAATACTATAACTAGTAGATTAAGGAATGCAAGGGAGTTTGGTTTGAACATACTGGATTTGAGATGCTGCTAAGTCAAGACATTGAGGTAGAGATGTTCAGAAGACTTAGATACACAGGTTGGCTAGTTCTCAAGTATTTATTGATTGCCATATGTGCTCCAGGCACTGTTGTAGTATTATAGTATTAAACTCAGGAGAAGGTCTATTGCCAGTAGTTCTCAACTGGGGATGGTTTGCACTCATGAGGGTGTTTGGCAAAGTCTGGAGACATTTTTATTTGTCACAGCTTGTGGGGTGTGGGGATATAAATGTGGGTATCTAGTGGGTGTAGAAGCCAGAGATGTTGCTAAACAGCCTGTAATTCACAGAAGCCCTCCACAATAAAGAATTATCAGTAGTAATGCTATGGTGGAGAATTTAAGCCCAGTGTATCTGAGGGACTACAGGTAACAGGGAGACGGGAGCAGAAAATAGAATGGAACCACGAACAAGTATCTTGAGGAAAAGGTAGACAAGGGGAATAGGGTCTCCTAAGAATGGGGGCTATGAACCCCTACTTGTTTAAGGATTAGGAATTAATTGGGCACCATGTGGAGAGGTGGGTGTAGTTTAAATTTGGGATAAGATTAAGAATCTTGCCCTAGTGCCTGTTTTGGAGCAGTTAAGTATAACCACACTTCCTACAAACCAAGCAGCAAGACAAAGATGTGAAGGTCTTTGGAGGAGCTTCTCCCGTGGCAAGGTTGGATTCTAGGGGGCCACTGTATGTACTGGTATAGTTGGCTGACATATGTAACATTTGTACTGAGATTTCAGACTTCCTATTTTTGTGTTTGCTTGATAGGAATTTGTAAGCTACTGCTGAACTGGAGAGATGAGAGGTAGGGATTTGGCTTAGAGACTCTAAATCCTCAGTTGGGACTGTAGATGTGGCAGTTATAGGAGGCAGCTTTTACTTTACTCAAGTTAGTGTTCCTGCCTTCAGGTTACAGACGCTGCCTGAGTAATTTACTTTCTCAGGCCTTTGCGATTGGCAGGTTTCACAGTGATGTTCTTTACAGTCTGCTGTTACTTTCAGATCAGTACTGGAGTATGGGCCAGTCTCCTTCAGTTCTGGAGGCCTCATGGGCTAGGAGAGGCAGTCATATTTTGGTGAAAATTCTGGCACATTCAGATATGGTAACCATGAGATTCCATCATGAATTTGTGCTGTGATTAGTGTTGTGTTTTTTTAAATTTAATAAATCTTTATTGTTCAGATTATTACAATTGTTTCTCCTTTTCCCCCCCCCCATAGCTCCCCTCCACCCGATTCCCACTGTCCTTATCTATAGGTGTACGATTTTTTGTTCCAGTCTCTTTCTGCACCCCACACCCTTTACCTCCTGAGAATTATCAGTCCACTCCCTTTCTATGTCCCTGATTCTATTATATTCACCAATTTATTCTGTTCCTCAGATTTTTAATTCACTTGATTTATTCTGTTCCTCAGATTTTTAATTTCACTTGTTGATAGATATGTATTTGTTGTTCATAATTTTTATCTTTACTTTTTTCTTCTTCTTAAAGAATACCTTTCAGCATTTCATATAATACTGGTTTGGTGGTGATGAACTTCTTTAGCTTTTTCTTATCTGTGAAGCTCTTTATCTGACCTTCAATTCTGATTGATAACTTTGCTGGGTAGAGTAATCTTGGTTTAGGTTCTTGCTTTTCAGCTGTGATTAGTTTAAAAGTATTAATTAAATGATGATTCACTTTGTTTCCATAGGATACAGAGTGGTTAACAAAATTGCATTCAGTATAGCGAAATAAATATTCAGAATAAGTAAGAAAAATGAGACAAAGAAAAAATAAAGAGAGGAAATCAAGATGAAGCGAGAAATAAGAATATATGTAAAATAAAAGCTGTGATGATCAGGTTACTTCTTTGAGATTAGGCCCTGAGTTTTCTGGGAGTGAACGAAAGGTAGGAACTGATCAATTAAGAAATTCAGAGTCTATAAGATGATAAAAACAAACTTCTTAGGAAATCACATTTATCCTTGATAGAGATATTCCTTCCGTGGGTCCTCCTTGAAGGCAACTGTTTAATCACAGCATCCTGTGTGCCTCATTTATAGTCTGCACAGTGACAGGCTCTGTAGAGGACTGTTTCTACAGTGTCCCACACTACAGGTTGATGTCATGACTGTAAAGTGCATTTTGGGAAAGGAGGGCAGTATAATGCAGGGTGAGGACAGGCCTCTTTAGAGGACAATCTGACTTAATTCAGGGTGGAATTTATAATAGATTTTCTTGGGTAACATTTTAAAAATTGATCTTTAAAGGTGTATAAACAGTGGGACCCTCAAATTTACAACAGTACCTGAGAGTAAGCAAATAGAAAGATCAACATTGCAGGAAACAGAACTTTTCTTTCCCAGAGATGCATTCTGGAAAGAAGAGTGGAAGGTGAGCTTCTTTGGCAGCTTGTGTCAGAGGATGTGCTGGGGGGAGACATTTAAATTGTATTCATGGTATGGGCTCTCACCTCCATTGATGGACATTAGGACTCTTTTTAAATGATGTCAAATTTGAAAGGGAGTGTGGATAGGACAAGTGCCTGACAACATGCAGGTCTCATGGCAACAGACAAAACTCTGTCCACTCTTGTACAAATGACAGCAAAGCACTTCTACAAATACTTTAAAAAAATAGATTTTTATTGATTTCATAGAGGAAGGGAGAGGGAGAGAGAAATGGAAACATCTATGAAAGAGAATCATGGATCGGCTGCCTCCTGCATGCCCCACTCTGGAGATCGAGCCCACAACCCGGACATGTGCCCTTGACCGGAATTGAACCTGGGACTCCTTAGTCCTCAGGCCGATGATCTATCCACTGAGCTAAACCAGCTAGGGCTCTACAGTTACTTCTGGTGAGATTCTCTTTGAGGAGGTTTGGTTAGAGTACCTGAAAAAATATTCCAAATATTTATACCTAAGAAATATTCCAAATATTTATACCCTACCTGCTTTGGCTCATTGGCAGGTTGTGAGCTTGATCCACAGTAAGGGGCATGCAGGAGGGAGCCAATCAGTGATTCTCTCCCTCATCATTGATGTTTCTATCTCGTTGTCCGTCTCCCTTCCTCTCTGAAATCAATAAAAAAATAATTTTTAAAAAGGTGGGTAAGATCTTGAAATAGGTACTTTAAAACATCACTGTATTGTTTTATTTTTGAAATTATACAGTAGCAGAAAAAATTGTTTTAAATATTAATTGCTACTCTGTGAAGCGAACCTGAAAAGAGCAGTGCTCTTTATTCTGGCAAGATGAGAAAGAAGGTGGAAAAGAAAGACTATTGAAAACAACACAGGCCAAACATGGCATATTTGTTCTTTGGAAGTGAGTAAGAGTTGTAAACTTTGGGAGCTAACTACTGTAAGCATCCCCAGAATCATCAAAGACAGTTTCCTTTGCTATCAAACAATTTAAGTATTAATACTTGTCTTTTTGTCATGTGATCCTTAGTTTTAATATTGTAGTAAAAGCTTGCATTTTATCTTTTCTCCTTCTAGCGGCTATGTGACTATGTCTGTGACCTCCTCTTGGAAGAATCAAATGTTCAGCCAGTATCAACACCAGTAACAGTGTGTGGAGACATACACGGACAGGTAAAATTTCATAAGCAGATTTTTAGCTTTGTATTGTCCATAGTACATGTGTATTTCCATTTGTGCTGCAAACAACAAACAAAAACAAATAAAAAACAACAGCTGGTAGTTGGCTAGGTTACTTCAGTCTGTATGACTGTTAACTAAGTGAAAAAAGCAGTGGTCAAATTATTCATGGAGTTTGTTGAAATTATGCTTGCGAAGTAAATAGAATGCAATACTATTCTGTGGAAAGGGGGAGATATAAAACACAAATGTGACTGCTCATAGTTATTATGGTCAATAGGAGGTGCGAATTTCCTTGGTGGGAATGAGAATAGCAAAGGTTCAGAAAGAAAATTGTTGGCGTGTGATTTCCCAGCAAGCTACTGCTTAGAATTTATTTTTTCCTCTGCTGGGTTTTATTTGTTTGTTTTTAAGAGTTTCAGTGCAGGAAGGGCATATGTCATCTTTAGATTCTTAATGTCAGTGTTTAGTCTAGTTGGAAACCTGTGTGTTTATAAAGTTATTTTAAATAGGGAAATGAAAGGTGAACTGAATACTCATATCTTGCTATATGTATACAATGGAATTTGGGCTACAAGACAGATAAACACTGTGAACAATATAGTATTTATGAATACTAACAGGACTTACTGTCTTCTGACAATTTCCTGTTTTACATATGACTACTTAAAGGAGCAGAAGGGACTGGCTGCTGAATGAGTAAAAACTTACTTTGACTAAGAGAGTTGTTCATTTTGGCTTTTCAGTATGTTCTCTAAAGGTTGAGATTATAATAAATCTGACATCTGCATATTCTCAGCTTCTAAATAGATACTCCATTATGTCACATGTGATTTGTTAGTAGATTTTAAGAGTGAATTTTCTTTTGTTTTAAAAAATTATTGATTTTTTACAGAGAGAAAAGAGAGGGAGAGAGAGTTAGAAACATGAGAGAGAAACATCAATCAGCTGCCTCCTGCACACCCCCTACTGGGAATGTGCCCACAACCAAGGTACATGTCCTTGACTGGAATCGAACCTGGGACCCTTGAGTCCACAGGCCGGTGCTCTATCCACTGAGCCAAACTGGTTAGGGCTTGGAGTGAATTTCTGAATATTTCCATTAACTTCTCTCCAAAACTATAATAAACATTTACATTTTACATAACATAAAGGATATTAATATAAGCAGTTTCTTTTAAAAATATATTTTTATTGATTTCAGAGAGGAAGGGAGAGGGAGAGAAAGATAGAAATATCAATGATAGAGAGAATCATTGATTGTCAGCCTCATGCAGCATGTGCCCTTGACAGGAATCGAACCCGGAACCTTTCAGTCCTCAGGTTGACGCTCTATCCACTGAGCCAAACTGGCTAGGGCTAAGCAGTTTCTTAATACATTCATAAAAGCTGGAATAAACCAAGCAACATTTTCCTCTGATTATAACATTAAAGTTGCCTTAGCCGGCTTTGCTCAGTGGTTAGAGCATTGGCCCACAGACTGAAGAAGGGTCCCAGGTTTAATTCTGGTCAAGGGCACATACTTGGCCCACTCTAGGGCGTGTGTAGGAGGCAACCAGTCAATGTGTCTCTCTCACATCAGTGTTTCTCTTTTTGTCCCTCCCCCTCCTTTCCACTCTCTAAAAATCAATGGAAAAATATCCTTGGATGAGGATTAACAGCAATAATAATAAATAAAAATAAAGAAACTTACTGTACTGATATGAATTGATTAAAAAAAAAAAGTTAAAGGGTTGCCCAGCTAACATGGCTCAGTGGTCGATTTATGAACTAGGAGGTCACAGTTTGATTCCTTGTCAGGACACATGCCCAGGTTGCGGGCTTGAATCCTCAGAGTGGGGTGTACAGGAGGCAGCGGATCAATGATTCTCTCTTATTGATATTTCTATCTCTTCCTCTCTGAAATCAATAAAAATATATTAAAAAAATTAAATTGAGGGGTTATCAAGAACTTTTCAATATGTGAATTACAGTCATGATCAAAGATCAAGAACTTAGAGATAACTTCAGATTGTGAAAATTAATTGAAATCATAAAATTGTACTTCTGTATTACTTAAATGAAATGTACAGTATTTGCTAACATTTATCTTGTGTTTTGAGGTTAATCAAGTGCTTTTTAGCCGAAACTGGTTTGGCTCAGTGGATAGAGCGTCGGCTTGTGGACTGAAGGGTCGCAGGTTCGATTCCGGTCAAGGGCATGTACCTTGGTTACGGGCACATCCTCAGTAGGGGGTGTGCTAGAGGCTGCTGATCAATGATTCTCTCTCATCGATGTTTCTAGCTCTCTATCCGTCTCTCTTCCTCTCTGTAAAAAATCAATAATATATATATTTTTTAAAAATAATGTGCTTTTTAGCATATTCCATGTAAAATTTTCTCAAGAGTTCTATACAGTTGAGTCATTTTGTAGAGAAGGAAACTGAGACTAAAAGATTGAAGAATTAGCCCAAACTCTCACAGCTGTTAAGGAACAGAGCAGAGACTTGAAATTCATTTGGATGCCCAGTAGTACATATTAAGTTAAGTATACCACCAAACTGTGAACATTGTTTCATTTGTACTTGACCCTTTAAAACAATTGCTAATCAGCTGAAACCGGTTTGGCTCAGTGGTAGAGCGTCTGCCTGCGGACTGAAAGGTCCCAGGTTTGATTCTGGTCAAGGGCATGTACCTTGGTTGTGGGCACATCTCCAGTAGGAGGTGTGCAAGAGGCAGCTGGTCGATGTTTCTCTCTCATCAACATTTCTAGCTCTCTAGCTCTCTCCCTTCCTCTCTCTAAAAAATCAATAAAATATATTTAAAAAAAATAAATAAAAATAAAATAATTGCTAATCAAAAACATGGGGCTTGCCAAGGCCGGTTTGGCTCAGCGGTAGAGCGTCGGTCTGCGGACTGAAGGGTCCCAGGTTCGATTCCTGTCAAGGGCATGTACATTGGTTGTGGGCACATCCCCGGTAGGGGGTGTGCAAGAGGCAGCTGGTCAATGTTTCTCTCATCAACGTTTCTAGCTCTCTCTCTCTCTCCCTTCCTCTCTGTAAAAAATCAATAAAATATATTTTTTTAAAAATTAAAAAAAAAAACCACAAAAAAAAAAACATGGGGCTGGTAGAGCTTCTAACACTCTGTTGATTGAGTAAACTAAATGTAAGATATGTCCTTTGGGACTTGTATAGTTGTCTTTCCCATGGGCCAGTCCTGGAATTGCAGGATTGGGTTATAAATATAAATAAACATGCTGGCAAGCGTATACAGCTGTCCCTCAGTGTCCTCAGGAGATTGGCTCCAGGACCTCTCACAAATATCAAAATCCTGTGATGCTCAAGTCCCTTATACAAAAATGGCATAGTATTTGCATATAACTTATGCACATCCCCACATATACTTTAAATCTAGATTACTTATAATACCTAATACAGTATAAATGCTATGTAAATAATAGTTTAAGGAATAATGACCAAAAAAAAAACCCACAAAAAAGTCTGCACTTGTTCAGACCTACAATCATTTTAGGCCTAATACATGGTACATGTCAACAGAAACATAACATTCTCTGTTCACCCGCCCCTGGTCCCAAATATTTCGATACACTGCTTGTTGAATGGGATGAGTTCACAGTAAGAGTCTGGAAATCTGCAGATACGAATGACAACTACACTGCTGAGAAGCATTGAAGCAGTGTAATCTAGTTTGGAGATGGTAGACTTCAGTATCAGACAGAGCTTGTTTTAAACCCTGACTGGGCAATGCACTGCCTGTTTAAAAAGCCACATCAGCCCTAGCGTGAACCCATTTGGCTCAGTGGATAGAGTGTCAACCTGTAGACTGAAGAGTCCCAGGTTCAGTTCCAGTCAAGGGCACATGCCCAGGTTGCAGGCTTGATCCCCAGTAGGGGGCATGTAGGAGGCAGCTGATCAATGATTTTCTCTCATCATTGATGTTTCTATCCCTTCCTCTTTGAAAACACACACACACACACACACACACACACACACACACACACAAAACACAAAAAACAAGAAGTCAGACATCCCTCTCACAATCCAAGACTGCTGGCTCCCAACTGCTCACCTGCCTTCCTGATTGCTCCTAACCGCTTCTGCCTTCCAGCCTGATCACCCCCTAACCACTCCCATGCCAGCCTGATTGATGTCTAACTGCTCCCCTGCCAGCCTGTTTGCCCCCAACTTCCCTCCTCTGCTGACCTGGTCATCCCTAACTTATCTCCCCTGCAGGGTTGATAGCCTCCAACTGCCCTCCCTTGCAGACCTGGTCCTTCTCAACTCTCCTTTCTTGTAGGCCTGGTGCCTCCCAACTTGCCTTCCCTTGCTGCCTGATCACCCACAACTGCCCTCCCTTGCAGGCCTGGTGCCTCCCAATTGCCTTTTCCTGCTCACCACCTTGTGGTGGCCATCTTGTCTCCACATGGGGACAGGATCTTTGTCCACATGGGGACAGCTATCTTGATCTTATGTGTTGGGGTGATGGTCAATCTGCATATTACTCTTTTATTATTTAGGATAATAGAATCAGGGCCATAGAAAGGGAGTGAACTGACAATCCTTGGGGGAAAGAGTTGTGGGGGATACTGGAAGAGACTGGACAAAAATCATACATCTATGGAAAAAGACGGGGGTGGGGTGGGAGAGAGGGTAAGGGCAGAGGGTGGGGTGGGAACCAGGTGGAAGAAGCTATGGGGAGAGGGGAGGAGGAACAATTGTAATAATCTGAACAATGAAGATTTAATTAAAAAGTAGAAATGAAAAAGTGACAAAACTAGAAACTAAATATAGCTCATGGAAAAACAAAACAAAAAAAAATATTGTTACTGATTTCAGAAAGGAATGGGAGAGGGAGGGAGGGAGGGAGGGAGGGAGGGAGGGAGGGAGACAACAGTAATGAGGGAGAATCATTGATTGGCTGCCTCCTTAAGGTTAAAATTCTCTGCTTAAGACTTAAACAGTTACAAGGAGGGGAAATGCTTTATTTCAGTAGTTAACATTTAAATGTCAGTTTTGTTCACTGTTACTAAGATTCTTGTACAGTTTTAACCATTAGAAATTTGATATTTATTAGTGATATTTTCAAGTCTAAAAAATAAATATGTTGGAAATTATTAGTTGTGGTAGGTATAGTTGATTACAAAAAAACTGAAGTTTCTTTAAGAATTAGATTAGGGTTATCTATAGTAAACTGAAGTTTGTCCTTTACCAACTTTTAGTCAAGTAGAATTAGGTGAAATATGCAGTTTCTTTTTACTCATTATTGAGAGGACATTTTACATTTGTGGGGGCTAAGGGTACACATCAACAGTATTCTGTAGGAAGGTAGGTTGACCTGTTCTGTAGCGTGTAAGTTTATTCTTTGAAATAAAGTTTTACCTACTTGTTTACTTATCTTTCTCTCATTGAAATAGATGTTAAATATGTGATGGGATGGTTAGGTGAGCTTATTGGAAGTTATGTAACTGATAAATAATTTCAAATTCTCAAGTAATAGGTGAGGAGATAGATATATGAAAGAAACTTAAGAGGAAGGCCTATAGCATTAATGATATATGAATGACTTTAAAGGTAATTGAGCTTTATTTCAATGCTTTCTTTTTTAAGGCTTGGGAGCTGTGTGCTTGGCAACTTTGCTTATACTGTTTTCTTTTTATTGTTAGTATTTGAAGTCTTCATAATTAACTGCTTCTTTACACATTTTGCTCTCAGTTTTATTATTTTATTCCTTTATAGGAATTTGTAATCAACAAATATTGCCTTTCTTTTATAGTTTTATGACCTTTGTGAACTATTCAGAACTGGAGGTCAAGTTCCTGACACAAACTACATATTTATGGTATGTAAAAACCAGTCACATCAAGTACTCATTTAAAAAGATCAAGTACTTATTTAAAAAGGAAAAGATCTGTCTTATTACATGTAAATTACATAATAATTTTATTGCCATGTGATAATCACTATTTAAATATCTAAAAAGGTGATTCTGTACCTTTTTATATTTTTCTGGGTCCTCTAGTTGAGAATAATTGATTTAGTAAATTGCTGAATACCTAAGAATGGGTTGGAGCCCTCAGTAATGGTTGGGAAAAATAATAATCCTAGAACCACTGGTTTATAGCATAAATCTTTAATTTATTGTTACTTTACCAAACTTTTTGGAGTATTCATTTTTATGTTATTAATCTATGAATTGAGGAATAAGCACACAGACACATTTGCTATGAAGATGCATATTTGCTTACTTTTCTTTCAGAATGTAATGTTACTGTTTTATTTTTTCTGTATCTTCCTTCTGTAAGTTTCTGGGTACTTTCTTATTATTCGTTTAGCTGTTTTCTTATTGGTCTACTATAGGCCCAAGTAAAACATTAATGGGAAGTGTAAATAGCATGTCATCACATGCCATTGCTAAACACAAAGCTGAACATGGAACACTGTGGTAATTGTGGTGTTTGCTTTTTCAAAAGAAAACAAAAATATTTTATTCAAGTTGGTAGCTCTTCTGATTCAGTTAAAATATTTTTGAAATTTATTTAAAGTTTTTGATTTACACATCTTTTTGAAACATGTTACTGTGGGTAATAGAGAACTGAAAAATGGCAGTTTGCAGGGGGAAATCATTGAATTGTACTGCAAGTATCTGTAGGCCTCCTGAATTGTGGACTAACACAAACACTAGTAAAAACAGCCTATTTACTTCCATTGGAATTTTTGTTAAAACTCAAATTTCCAAATAATTCAATGTATAACTTCATTTTTGTTATTTTGGGCTGTGTCTCTGATTTATGTGCACTTTGGTATAATTTGTAAAATATATTGTTGCCATTGTATTGTTTGTAACTGTAATCTTTTGCTTTACAGGGTGATTTTGTAGACAGAGGTTACTATAGTTTGGAGACCTTCACTTATCTTCTTGCACTAAAGGCTAAATGGCCTGATCGTATTACACTTTTGCGAGGAAATCATGAGAGTAGACAGATAACACAGGTTTATGGATTTTATGGTAAGACCTTCTGTTTCTCTGATTCTGAACATTATTTTACATTCCTCTTTGGGGAGAAAACACAGAAGTCATACATGTGTTTTATAGTAAATTTAGAAAATACAGATAATCTTTTTCCACTTTCTCACTCTTTAACTTTCTCTCTTCCCCTAACCAATGGGAAATCTTACCATGGAGAGAGAACCATTCTTAAACTTTTGGTGTGCATCTTTCTAGATCAGTGCCTCAAAGCACTGTTCTTAGTTTACCTTACTGGAATCATCTGGGGTGCTTGTTAGAAATGCAGATGGCTGGGCCCCCATGCAGAACTTTTGGGACAGGACCCTTGAAGTTGTAAAGGTGAATGTCCTGCTCATTCAAGTTTGAGAATTTATTCTATATCTATTTCTACATATTTATGTGTGTTTGTTGTATAATATATGTGTGTGCATACACACCACACTAAAATGGGATCATACTTGCTTCTTCATTTAATATTGTGACCTGCCTTTTTACTTCATTAAAGTATTTTTTATGGCAGCTTATATTATACTATATGGATATCCTGTAATTGATTTAACCAGTCCTTTTAACATTGGATATTGGAGTTATTTTTAAGTTGCTGATATACACATATCTGAATGAATATCCTTTTATATCATATACATATGATATCCCAAGGATATATAAATATCCTTTTACATATATATTAAAAATGTGTGCTTGTTCCAGAGAATCTCAGGACATCAGAGATTAGAAATATAACTCAGAAAAACAATATCAAATAGAACTCATATATTAAAAACAGAATAGCTGCTGCCTTGGCCCGTGTGGCTCAGTTTGTTGAGAATAGGTCCGTGCACAAAAAGGTCTGTGTTTTGATTCCTAGTCAGGAGACATGCCTGGGAATGTGAGGAGGCAGCCCATCAATCTTTCTCTCACATCAGTGTTTCTCTTTCTCCCTCTCCCTTCTTTTCTTTCTAAAATCAATTTTTAAAAAATTTAAAAATTATTTAAAAGCAAAATAACTGCTTTTATAAAACTTTTATATGGTTGAAAGTTTTAATAAACATGGTTAAGAAGTTCTTTGAAGAGGGTAGACATAAGAATTGTTGAGCTTATTAATATGAATTTTTCCTTGAACACAAGGTAGATATTGAGTGATTTGAAAATAAATTTATAACCCTTTAGTTTCAGATTTTTATATTTTGAATTATTTTCTATCATTATAAAGATAAGCAGGACTATCTTACTGGTTTAAGCTGAATTCCTGTTGTCCTAGTATTTGATGTATTCTTTATTAACATTTTTATTTTATTATCATTTAAAAATATATTTGTATTTATGTCAGAGAGGAAGGGAAAGGGAGAGAGAGAGAGAGAAACATCAGTGATGAGAATCATTGATCTGCTTCCTGCATGCCCCCAACCAGGGATCGAGCCCGCAACAGTCATGTGCTCTGGTTCGTAGGTCAATGTTCAACCACCAAGTCACACTGGATGGACTATTTAAAAAAAAATTTAATTTAGAGATAGGAGGAAGGGAGAAAGAGAAAAGTATTGATTTGTTGTTCCACTTATTCGTGCAATGAATGATTAATTCTTGTATGTGTCCTGTCGGGATCAAACCCCTAATCTTGGCATGTTGGGAGGATGCTCTGACCAACGGAGCTACCTGGCCAGGGCTATATTCTTTATTTTTATCGGCACATTCAGAATTTCATTACTGAGAACGCTCCTGTTTCTTTTGTAGATGAGTGCCAAACCAAATATGGAAATGCTAATGCCTGGAGATACTGTACCAAAGTTTTTGACATGCTCACAGTAGCAGCTGTAAGTTTATATGAATCTTTCTAAAGCCACAACATATTTCTTGCCAATAACACTTTGCATATTTTTATCTAATTGCTATCTTAGTTATATTGATATTATTGATTCATTGGAGAATTTGGATATAATTGAATTTATTATTATATGTTCAACTCTTTGTTATCCTTTTTGTTAGTTAATAGATGAGCAGATTTTGTGTGTTCATGGTGGTTTATCTCCTGATATCAAAACACTGGATCAAATTCGAACCATTGAACGGAATCAGGAAATTCCTCATAAAGGAGCATTTTGTGACCTGGTTTGGTCAGATCCTGAAGATGTGGATACTTGGGCTATCAGTCCCCGAGGAGCAGGTTGGCTTTTTGGCGCAAAGGTCACAAATGAGGTAAAGTCAACATTTTCGGAAAAGTGGTCTGTTGGTTGCTAATGAACTATACAAAGAACTATGGTGGCTGTAGATGATAAACTTATAGTCTAGTGGTCAAACTATGGTGATTATGGATATAAAATTCCTCATCTAGTTTATCATGTAATATATAACTCCTTAGTAATTAATGAGATGAATCATGAAAGCACCTCCTTCAGCATCTACTTGGTAACATATATAAAATAAATGTTCCTTTTCTTCCAAATATTGCAGTTAAGTAATAAGATTAAACAAGGTCAAGAAAGGCAACTTAAAAAATATTTTTTTCCATATTTATGTTTTTAGTTGAGATACAATTGATATTTAACATTGTATTAGTTTTAGATATACAACATAATGACTTGCTATATGTACATATTGTGAATAGGCAACTTTTTGAGGTCCAACTATTTATACACACACACACACACACACACACACACACACATATGCTATATTGGGAAGTGATCGAATGTGGAATCAGAGAGCTAGGTTGAAGTTATCTTGTCTGAATCTCTGTTTCATTACACTGAAAAAGTAGTAAATCTCAGAATTTTTGCAAGAACCATATTAAACACTCAGTAAATTATAGATATGGTAACAATATGTTTATTGTTAAACCATAACAATTTTGTTTCATATCTGATAGTACTTGTAGGATGCTTTTCTTCCAGAAACTTCTAGTTATGTGACTGATGATTTCTAAGCTCTTTAATAGTCTCAGGCCAAAGTGACTCTTTAGCCTATAACTCATTTAAATTATTGGGGTTAACTGTAGAGTTAGTTTTATAGTCATGAGAACCATACTCAGTAGCAGGATTTATGCTTTATTTAAATGTTTATTGTATATAGGCTGGTATTTTTAAAAAGAATATGCTGGATACTTAACCAATCCTTTCTAAATTGCAGTTTGTTCATATCAACAACTTAAAACTCATCTGCAGAGCACACCAACTAGTGCACGAAGGCTATAAGTTTATGTTTGATGAGAAGTTGGTAACAGTATGGTCTGCACCTAATTACTGCTATCGTTGTGGAAATATTGCTTCAATAATGGTCTTCAAAGATGTAAATACAAGAGAACCAAAGTTATTCCGGGCAGTTCCAGATTCAGAACGTGTTATTCCTCCCAGAACGACGACGCCGTATTTCCTTTGAGGCCTGCGCCCATCCTGCTGACCGGTCACATTTTCTGCCCTCTTCTTACCCCAACTTTCGTGTATTACCCTCTATAATATACTTTTTATTGAGCACTTTGCTGCTGAAATGCTGCCTCTTGCCTTTTTTTATTTTAAATTATCTAAATTTATTGTTTGTTATGGTGTCTATAACAATGTTTTCCTATCAGTTTTCTCCCCCATCCCATCCCCACCTTGGACTCATCTGAGAAGACTTGAGAAATGTCTTAATACTCATACTGCTGCATGTAGCTCTTGCTTATTTACTGGTCTGGGGGAAACAAGATGTGTTTCCTTTTTAAAAAAGCCAATTGACAGAACAGACTACACTGAAATACTCCTTTTGTATCATTCAGCCTTTTGTTTTAGTTTGGTAAGTTTTAAGAAATTTCAGCAGCAAAGTTGTTATCCAGTGGGCACGATGGACTGCAAATGCCTCGAGTTATGTATACTTGTCCCAGCTGTAAACTTCATTGTCCTTTGTTGGATATTTTAAGTGGATATAAAATAAATTGGTCTAAAGGGCTGCCCTCGTTGTGTTTTTAAATTTGAGTTAAAAACTGCTACAGCTTATGATTTTGTACATTAAGATAATTGTATTGATCTTTTTTCAGATTCCTTGTATTTTTAAATAAAGTAATCTTAAATAAAACCCAGATAGGTTAAAAGTGTTAGAAATTTTAAACAGCTTACATTGTTAGCTTAAAATTACTCTTTTTTTTTTTTTTTTTTCCTAGTCAGAGTTCTTGACCCTTTGGTTATTGAGTTTAAAACTTCAACTGAAATTCAGTACTATTTATTTAAGAAAAAAATCACTAAACTGTGCCTAAGAACATAACTGCCATATTAATTAATGTTTTGGTTTATATCCTCTATAGTAATAGAAAAACATTTAATACTTGTAATGCTGATATGTTCATTTGATACCACTTGAGTAAAATGTGATCAATCCAGTTTACAATCTATCATGAGTATTATGAAGTAATATCTATGTACTTTTCAATAGGAATCATTTTCTTGCTGTAACACTTGACCTTAACTTTTAGAAAGTGTTCTTTTTTTTAAAAAAAATGCAACTGGAAAGGTTGAAAAGTCAGGACTTATATTTGTGAACTGTAATCTGAAGCAGGTTTTAAAAAGTGTGGAAAGAAACAAATTGTCCTTTTTTGTAAAGGTCTGTGATACCATGTTTCGGCTTTGTGTAAGTAATTTGAATATCCAAAGGATTGTTGGTGATCAGTCCTTGATATGCAACGTCCACTTAATAAGGACAAGTGTTCCAGTGTCTCTTATGACTGTGGTCATAAATGATGTTGGAATTTACCATTTTGTGAAATAGTTGGTATCCTTTTACTACTATAATTAATTTTTGTCATTCCAGGAAATCTTTGTGAAGCCAGCCAATTAATAAAGCACTTTAGTATCTGTTCAGGTAGTAGTTTTGAAAATCAACTTTTCCCCTTCAGGATAAGAACTTCCAGGTTACCTAAAAATGCAATAAAAATCTTTATAGTCTACGCTTCTTGGCACATAATTTTTCATCAGGGTTTTCTTTTATTAAATGAGCACAACACTTTTGATTGTTTCCCACAACCACCCAGCTACTTGTGTAGTTTTTAATTGTAAAGCTATATGAAAGACGTGACTAAGACATTTGCTGCACACACTTGAACTGTGGGGTCAGTATCTTTGTGTCATTGCCCTGACCTCAGTGTAATTCAGGGGGAAAGTTATTAATCTTACAGGGATATGTAGCTATGTATTTTACTAATTGTTAAACACTGGAAATTAATGATGCAGACAACTTGATGTGGTCTTTAAACAGCTCTCTGCAGTATTTTTTTCCTTTTACCATAAATTGTTCATTTGTTTTTGTTAATCCTCACTTGAGAATATTTCTTCCATTGATTTTTTTTTTAAGAGAGTGGAAAAGAGGGAGGAAGAGAGAGTAAAAAACATTTATGAGAGAGAGAGAGAGAGAGAGGGAGGGAGAGAGAGAGAGAGAAATGGGGGGGAGAGAGAGAGAGAAACATTGGTTGGTTGCCTCCCACATGCAGGGAACATAGCTGCAACCCAGGTATGTGCCCTTGACCAGGAATTGAACCGGCGACCCTTGTGGTGCGTGGGCCAACATTCCAACGCTGACACACACCTGCAAGGCTCCTGTTACCATGAATTGTATTCACGTGTTTGCTCTCCTCTGCTTTTAAATTGTACCAGTTAAACCAGTAACCCTGAGCCCTCCCTCCCATTTGATACTCCCTAGCTTAGATTGATGTAGTTTTAGTGATCCCTGTAATGTGACATTTTTAAGTCATTGCATACTGCATTTGTCTGTCACTAGTTGGGCATGTGCCAATAATGTTCTGTCCATTCCTTAACTGCCATCTCTGTTCTGCCTGATTTTTCCCCCCTCTTCAACCGAATTACAGCTTTTTGCATGGGAAAAAAAAAAAGCTTTTACTATTAGACATGTAAAGGGAAAAGAGAGTGAATGTATTGTTTTGTAAGCCTAAAAGGAATATTTGGATTCCTCTACGAAATAAGGGCTACGTACTATATACAGTAATCTTATGGTGGAAGATACTTGCAGGCCATAGGTTTGTAGGCAGATCTGTTACTCCCTGTGTCTAGGCTGAATGTAAAATCCCTTATATTGTATTATTGGGGATAATCACTATTTTTATTTGCCTATGATATACTTGGTTTCTAATAAATTGTCCTAGACTCTAGTGAGAACTGTCTACTTTTAGTTGCCAATCACTCCCTGTCCTTACTCCCTGATATACTCTTGGCTAGCTTTTTATAGGTTAATGCTTTTTCTTGAAATATCTCACCACTTTAAATGTGTGAATTTGGGTGTGATCCTAAAAAGCCTGGGTCAAGAGCATATCTAATATGCAACCTGCATCAGCTCCTACTCCAGCTGGATGTCTAGAACTTTTGGAAGATTTTGATGTCTTAAATCCTGGGTTTTGCTTTTGAAATAAGGTTTGAAATATTGTTCATTGCATTAAGATTTGTGTGTTTTTGCTTTGTAAGCCCAGCAGGTTTTGAAAAATGCCTGTATTGTGAAAGCAAATCTGAACTCTTTCTGAGCCTCTTTTATTGTGAGAAGTAGAATTGCTTTTCATCAGCCTCCAGAAAATTGTGTACCTGGAGTTGAGATTTAACAGCAAGAATCCAGATTTTTAAATGTAATTGTTTTTTAACTGCTAATGTTTGTAAAGCACCTTCAGTTCTTTGGATGAAGAGTGCTATATTCTCTCAGTGTAAATTAATAAAAATATTATAGGAAGTTTGTCAAAAAATTTTAATGCATAGTTTGTAGTATGTCCCAAAAAGAAGTTAGCATTTTATATAACACAATTTAAATTAAAAATGCTTGTTCCTCCACTTAGTTGCTTGACTAGTAAACAGAAGTGAAACTTTCTTGTTCCATATTTGACTCTGAGCTAAGGGTTCCATTTTAAAAATATATATATTTTATTGATTTTTTACAGAGAGGAAAGGAGAGGGATAGAAAGTAGAAACATCGATGAGAGAGAAACATCAACCAGCTGCCTCCCGCACACCCCCCACTGAGGATGTGCCCACAACCAAGGTACATGCCCTTCACTAGAACCGAACCTGGGACTCTTCAGTCTGCAGGCCTATGCTCTATCTACTAAGCCAAACCGGTTTCGGCAAGGGTTCCATTCTTTAAAGACATTATTCATTGTTACACCCTGGGTCTGGTGGCCAGAACCATGCTTCATGAGATTGTCACAACTTTCAATTGTATATTTACAATTTGCGGTCATGCTGAGAAATACACAGTAATAAAACACCAAAAAGAAGCATTTGGAAAGTCCCCTAATATGCAAACACAGTTGATGCCTGGCAAAGGTTGGTTTCTTAGTCCCCTCTTAATAATTTTCTCTTTCCTTGTCAATCAGTTGATGAATATGTGTCTTAACCTCATGAGAGCATGTTTATGCTGTCTTGGGTCATTCAAATATTTTCTTGACTCAAAAATGCATGACATTTATGAAGATTTTTTGTGTGTCAACAAAAATACTTATTGCATAAGTATATTCTACTTAATCCCTTGACACCCACTGTTGTAAGCAATCTGCTTTTATGTGTAAATGGGAATAGGGTAGAAAAGACTGCTTGGAGGCATCATGGAATAGTGGAAAGAATATAGTCTTTGTGATCAAATTTGGACAAAAACAGCAGCCATGCCAGGCAGCTGACCTGTATTGACTAAATGCTGTGGTACTCTGTTGTGGTGCCCTGACTATATGACTATATTACTTTTTTTTTCTTTCTCCTTTGAATGGGGAAACAGGGTAAGGAGGTTGGGTAACCCCTGTAGGGCACACCAGAGTAAACTACTTTAAGTCCCCTTACAGCACTTTTGAGTAGATTGGTTCTAGCTATGTGACCCTGAGCAAGCTGGATTTTCTGAATCTTGAAATAATGTATCTAAAACAAGAGAATATCATACCGGCTTGATAACAGGATTAAAAATAGCACTCATAAAGCTCACAGTCCTTGGCCCAAAGCTACTATTTATTGAGTATGTACTAATACAGCATTTGCCCCAAATCAATGTTGTTGCTAAGTAAGAATAACCCAAGGCAATATATAATTGCTGACGTAGTAAATCTTATGTTAGTGCAACAAATTTAGAGAAGGAAATATTTGCAGTAATTAGTAAAGGCTTAAAAGAGGAAGTATGAAATGTGAACTGGAATGAGATGTGCATTTCTTACACAGTATAAGCACAAAAGCAGAAATTACTAAAACTTGGACATGATGCAGTTTTCTACCATTATTTCATAGAAGGAAGTAATTTTTTAACATCAGATGTAAAAAGAGCCATTTCTGCATAAATGCAGCCATAAATTTGGTTTTATGAAAAACGGTAGTACCCTTTTTTGCCATTTGTGAAGATCAGTGAGAGACTTGTTTTCAACCTGAGTACTAATCTAGGCTATCTCATCGGTGCATAAAAATGTGTTCTAATAAAATGGAAGTAGTCGAAGAGAAAGTTTTTTGCCTCCTCCCAGCTTCAATTGGTAGATTCCACAAGGATCTACCAAGCAAACTGTTCACAATGAATCTAGAGAGGCTGACGGGGATAGCACCTTCACAGAATTTTATGTGTTAAATGAGCTATGTCTTATTTTCAAGTATGACCTTCTTAAAGGTAACATTGTGCTTATGTGCTAGTCAGTCAATAGCAAAAAATGCAGTGAAATTTATTTTGATTAGCGTGTAGAACAAAATCATCTGGTATCACAGGATGGTTAGCATACACTCGGAGATCTATTTAGGCCTTTCAAAATGGAAGACACTGTTTTCAGTTATGGCATCAATTGTTTGCAGCATTGCTCTTTCGTGGCAATTAAAAAGAATGCACACAACTCTTGCTCTCTTGGAAGTCCACTCTCAAGCTTGTGATCTTTTTCTGCTGAGGATTGAGCATCTAAACCATGATTTATATGGTAGCTTACGTTTTCTAGCTGGACCCTCTATGAAGGGTATCTGGGAGCTGTGAGAATATTTCATTCAGCATGATATAGAGCAGTAATTTTTCAATCTTTTCCACCTACCTCATGGCACACTAAGATTGTGCGGCACACCAAAAAGTATATTTTTTGACGATATGGTAAAAATTAGGTATAATTTTGGTTCATCCACACTAGATAGCTATTGTTGGCTGTTATCGTTTTTTAAAATTTGACAATCTAAGGGAAAAGAGGTCAGTGCCCCTGACTAGTTAGGTATTGAATATTTTAAAAATTCTTGTGACACACCGGTTGAAAATCGCTGATGCAGACACCGGGACCGCAGACAGGGTAGTTAAAAATGAAGCTCGTTTTGGAGAGTTGCCTCCCTGTCGCATCTGCCAGAGGAGTTTGGGAGATTGCAGTGCTTGGCTTTGAGTCCTGGCATGGTGCAGTGTTGGGGGCGCCAGCAGGTGTGTGGGTTGCAGGACACAGTGAGCAGAACCTGCCTGCAGGTGTCTGAGGCGGAAGGTGCAGTGTCCGCTTTCCGACGCGCGGTGGC